TTTGTATTTACTTTCCCTTCCCTTTTTCTCATGCTCTTCTTTTTCTCTCTTAATATATATGAGTGCATCTGTTTTGTCATTTATGATCTTTTTTGTTTTTTTCCTCTGCATTTGAAATGTTATCTTCTTTTTTCCTTTCTCTCCCTGTCTCCTCCCCCTTTCCTTCACCCGCTTCTTTCCTCACTGCCTTCTCTCTCAATCACCGTCCCCCATTTCTGTTTCAAGGACGTACATATTATAAAGGATACATTTGCATATTAATTCATTTCTTTCAATTTTTCAGATTAGACGTTGTCAACATGTATCAGCAGTGATCAACCAATGCAGCCACCAGAGACCTGACTGCATGTATGTGTGTTTGCTTGCTTGTGAAAAATGTTTGTCATCTATTCATGAAGAGGGATTCCAACTTGTTTGAAAAGACCAGTGTGCAATTCCCCAGATTTAACATGGTAGTGATCATAGTGATCCAGACCCTTACATTTCTACTGGTAGAGATTACATTTTCACATTAAAGACAAACATCTGCAGCTTTTAGGGTACAAACAAAACAGTTTTTTACTGTTAAACCAGCTTCCTTGAAATAAATGGAAAATGACAAAAGCATGAATATATATATGAATATATATATATATATATATATATATATATATATATATATATATATATATATATATATATATATATATATATATATATATATATATATATATACTTATTTTTATATATATATATATATATATATATATAAATAAATATAAGTAAATTATATAAATTATATATAAGTAAATTAGTCTGATGGAAACGTTGAGCAACACTTTGAGGCAATAATCACTGCTATTAGGTGTTTTCTATAATGTTCAGGAAATGTTCAGTCAGACTTCTGCACCTGTTGACAGGGATGTTGGTTCACTGTTCATGAGCAAGGCACTTTAGATTTTCGGTAAGGGTTTGTCTTTTGTTTTTTGTTTTTTAATTTTGTTTTATATTATTTTATATATATATATATATATATATATATATATATATATATATATATATATATATATATATATATATATATATATATATATATATATATATGTATATATATATATATATATATATATGTATATATATATATATATATATATATATATATATATATATATATATATATATATATATATATATATATATATATATATATATATATATATATATATATATATATATATATATATATATATATATATAAATAAATATAAGTAAATTATATAAATTATATATAAGTAAATTAGTCTGATGGAAACGTTGAGCAACACTTTGAGGCAATAATCACTGCTATTAGGTGTTTTCTATAATGTTCAGGAAATGTTCAGTCAGACTTCTGCACCTGTTGACAGGGATGTTGGTTCACTGTTCATGAGCAAGGCACTTTAGATTTTCGGTAAGGGTTTGTCTTTTGTTTTTTGTTTTTTAATTTTGTTTTATATTTTATATATATATATATATATATATATATATATATATATATATATATATATATATGTATATATATATATATATATATATATATATATATATATATATATATATATATATATATATATATATAAATAAATATAAGTAAATTATATAAATTATATATAAGTAAATTAGTCTGATGGAAACGTTGAGCAACACTTTGAGGCAATAATCACTGCTATTAGGTGTTTTCTATAATGTTCAGGAAATGTTCAGTCAGACTTCTGCACCTGTTGACAGGGATGTTGGTTCACTGTTCATGAGCAAGGCACTTTAGATTTTCGGTAAGGGTTTGTCTTTTGTTTTTTGTTTTTTTATTTTGTTTTATATTATTTTATATATATATATATATATATATATATATATATATATATATATAATATATATATATATTTAAATTAAAAAGAATCCAGATTTGATTTTACTAATTATTCATTTTCTTTATTGGAAAGGTATCTAGACTTTTGAGTACAACTTTATGTCTGAATTTCCTCTTTCTCTCTTTACATCAGTTTTTAAGTTGAAATGTTATGAATGCTTTGAGGAATTTAAAGTTTGGAGGCAGTTCTTGTTCACTAATGAGTCTGACAGAAATAATTTTTTTTTTTTTTGTCTCAGGCTTGCAATAAAATTGGTTTCTTCTGTAATTTCTGGCTTCTTGTGACACGATGAAACCTTAGAGTAGTTTGTTGAAATGAATTATGGATTATCATGAAAAATATATATATGTATGTGTGTGTGTGTGTGTGTGTGTGTGTGTGTGTGTGTGTGTGTGTGTGTGTGTGTGTGTGTGTATGTGTGTATATATATATATATATATATATATATATATATATATATATATATATATATATATATATATATATATATATATATATATATATATATATATATATTCTCCCATGACGGAGTCTCTGGCAGCTGATCTTCTGTTCCCCATTGTCTGAGACATTTACTGAGGACGTCTGTTGGAGGCTTGTCCTTGATGTACTTATGGATGTTTCATCCCAGATAGTGGCTCTTCGCTCACTAGTCCCTGGCCTCCTTCCTTACGGCTGGCGTACAGTCTCAGGATGCTGGATTCCGGGTGGTACCCTCCGTGCATGGTTAGGAGCTTTCGTGTCTTAACATCTGTGGCCTGTACCTCCTCCTTTGGCTTATTATTCCTGCAGGGTATCTGATTACTGGCAGAGCGTAGTTATTTATTGCCCGAGACTTATTCTTGCGGTTGAGCTGGCTTCTTAGGACCTGCCTTACTCGTTGGAGGTATTTGGCCGTAGCTGCTTCCCCTGTCACCTCTTCGACGTTCCCGTTTGCTAGTGAGATTCCAAGGTACTTGTAGCTGTCCTCAATGTCTGTTCTATCTACCAGGAGATGATGTTTGGCACCTCTGGTATTTTTGCCAATTGCCTTCTAAGTTGTGCTCATGTATTGATCCATGTGTCCGCTTATCTTAGCCGCTATGATCCCGGACATGAGCTTCGACATTGTGGAGAGGCAGGTTATGAGCCGATAGTTGAATGGACTGTACCCTTTGAGGGATCCTTCAGGTTCAGGATTGTGCAGCCTTTTGTTATCCATTCAGGGTCATTCCCATCTCTCAGCAGCTGATTCATTGGTGCTGCCAAGCGCATATGTATATATGTGTAGGTGTGCATATAAGTATATATGTGTATATGTGTATTTATATATATATATATATATACATATCCTTATTATTTTTACCATTTGTAGTGTTAAGTTCTTGTAGTCCTCATGTTTGAGAAAAAAAATTTTTGTAAAAAAAAAAAAAAGCTTTCTAATATATTAACTCTTTATGCATATTTTTATGATCTAGACTGAAGATATGGGTAAAAAAAAAACATTTTAAAGCAAACTTGTTTGCCACCACAAACCCACAATAATCTTTTATTTTCTTATCAAATGCTCTTAGACTTCAGTTAGAGAAACAGTGATGATTACTGCCATCTACTGGTCAAGTTGGGTAATACATTCTCTTATGAATGTCAACTATCTAGCAGAAAGGAACATTTTTCTTTCCATTCTTGGCTGTATTGCTTTTTTATTTTTTGGGTAAAATGTTACCACGTACCATATTTAATTCTTTAATATTTGTGTAAAGAATTAAATTATGAATTGCATGGTTCTTCTTTAGCACTCCACTATTTTAGATTCCTGCTGGATGTCTTCTGGATGTTCAATTTCTAAGTGTAAAATGACTTCCTGCAGTGGCAGTTCAGATAAGTGGGCCTTTATCAATATTCCAACAATTTTACATTTTCCAAAAGTAGCTAAAGTAGAATCAGAATTTAAATTGATAAAGTCCTGATGTTGTCCCTTGTATTATTATTTGAGTATGTTATTAAGTTTAACTCCCTTATAGGGCACTCAATGAAATACTTTGAAAATCAAAATTTCAAGACAATATGGTTATTGGAATCAAGGACAAGACCTTATTACCTTTGGAACAATTAAAAAAATATGGATATTTTGATGGCAAAAATGTATGTCAGTGTAATAACAAGAAACGCCAACTTGCCTGAATATATTCAGAAAATGACAAAATTGCTTCTATAAGTAATCCATGAAAGAAACAAATTTTTTTTCTCCAACATAACCTTAGAGGCATTAATGCTGATATTGGAACCTACATGTTTTAGTTTATTAACCTAAATAGAATTGTTAACTAGGATTATTAATTTTTAACTTTACTTTTTAACTTTTCAACTGGCTTTTTAACATTTTCTCTTGACTTGTTGAATTTGTTTTTTTCAACTTAATTTACAGTAGTTAATATATCAATTAAGGTCTCATCCAATTGGTCAAATCCAAAAATAAGATGTACAGTCATGTAGCAGGATATTTGCTGAATGGCTGGATATAGATCTTGTGCTTCTAGACCTCACTAAGGGAAGTGGGGGACTCAATTTGTAAAGGGTACGCAAGTGATCAAAAACGGTAACTTGCCCTATAAAGGGTAAAGATAACTTATAATATGTCTAGTTAATGCAAATTACGATGCTGAACTTCAAAGTAAAGAATTAGAATCAATATTGCGGAAACTGAACTTATGCATCAGATTTTATTACAAATCCATCTCTCTCAGGTGGCCACCTTCACCTTTCTGGATAAAGTCCAGCGTAAAGTGAACAATGTTGTTCAAAAACCTGCAGATATTCACCACTGTTTCCAATATATATAAACATTATAAATCTGTCCTTCAAAGGAATACAAACCAAGCACACAAACAACTAATTCCCTTGAATAATCATCCAAATGTAAGGAAAAGTTTGTAGTATCCCTCATAAGAGAGAAAAATTTTATGTTCTTCATCTATTTAGTAAAATGAAAACACTGATTTCCAGACGGAAGGAGCATGTTAGTCAAACTGTAAGTAACAATAAGCCTAAATCTGCCCACGTTGGGTTTTTTTTATGTGTAACCTTTGGGTTGCTTATTTCCTTTTTGTTGCCTTTGTGTTTCTTACTGTGCAGTGGAGTCCAGCAGTCCCAGTCTTTTATCTCCTGATAACTCTCTGGAACGATCCTTCTTCATCCGGATGAAGTCTACTCTCACAAAGAGAGGCGTGCACATCAAGTCCTCAGGATATAAAGTAAGATGTAAAGCTGAAAGTACATGTTCAATGTTCAAAGCAATAACTCTTTCAGGGTCAGGCTGCCTCCATGTTTACCATCCATTCTGGAAATGTACACCAAAAGCTGGTTAAATCAGTTTAATTTCAAAATATTCTTCAAAAAAAATCTTTATTTTAACAATGAATGAAATGTAGTTTTCAAATTTTTTTTTTTTATAACTAAACCTAATTTATTACCGTTGATTTGCCACCTTTTCTGTGGGCTAACTCTAATCCTAACATTGGTGGACAAAAAAATTAAGTGTACGGTAAGTAGATTTAGTATAATTCTAGTTTGACCAATTTGAAGAAAGAATTAACCGCCAGTTCTGTGAGCTTTTAGTTTACCAACACACGTGTGTTAGTCATCAAATAATTTCTAATGGGTTGTTTTTATATGTAAAATATGTTAGCATCAGGCTGGGAGGCTCTGAATCTAGTTGAAGTGATGGACTTTAAGTGCCATTAACAACTTTTCAAATATTGATGAGTATGCCATGACTGTGTCGGCCTACATAAACAAATGCATTGTGGAGGTCAGCATCAAACAGAACATCACTACCATGGATAAATGGAGAGGTTCGGAAATCGCTAAAAGCACGGAACTCAGCTTTCAAGTCTGGTGATAAAGAGGCACTGAGAACAGCGCGTGGCAACTTAAACCGTGCCGTCGGATCAGCGAAGCAGAACCACAGCCAGAAGATCCAGGATCTTTTCCACACGGACAGTAACATCAGGAGGATGTGAAAAGGCATTCAGACAATCACAGACTACAACAAACCCTCCACCCCCCCCCGTAGATGCAGCAAACACTGACTTCCTAAATAAACTGAACAACTGCTTTGGAAGGTTTGAGGCACTAAACAGCACTCCAGCAGTGAAAGCTGTTCCACACCAGGGGGAGGAAACATTAAACCTGGACGTCGCTGAAGTGAGAAAAACTCTGAGGAGAGTCAACGCAAGGAAGGCCCCAGGGCCTGGAGGTGCACATCACAGACACACTCAGCTGGAATGTAAACACCACCTCACTGATCAGAAGGGCAAGAAAGCACATGTACTTCTTGCGGAGGATGATGAGAACCCACCTGCCTCCATCCATCCTCACCACCTTCTACAGAAGCACCATAGAGAGCGTTCTGACCAGCTTACTCACTGTGTGGTGTGGAGGCTGCAGCTCCTCAGACTGGAAGGTAAAAAGAGTAATGAGAACAGCAGAGAGGATCATGGGGGCACCTCTTCCCTCCATTAAAGACATTTCATCCCAGCGCTGTGTGTCCAGAGCCCGTAATATCATCAATGACCCCTCACACCCCCACCATGGACAGTTCTCCCTGCTGCCCTCTGGGAAGAGACTTTGAAGCATCCGATGCTGGTCCTGCAGATTCCATAACAGTTTTTCCCCGCTGCCATTAGACTGCTGAATGTTGTGGGTTATTTTATTTATAAAAAAAAGATCAATGTTAGAACTGTAAAGATACAGTCATATGTTTATATTACTATTACTATTTGTTATGTATTTATTAGGCGTTTTAAATGAAATGTCTTTTTGTTTACGCTTGTGTATACAAAATACATCTGTCTAAGTGTAATAGTCTCATTAAGACCTTGCTGTCTTCCCAGGCCTGCCTAAAAAGTTGATCAGACAGCTGCAGCTGATCCAGAATGTTGCTGCTGCAAGTGAATGCTGCCTCACTAGAACTAAGAAAGTGGAGAACATCATCCGAGTTCTAAAGTCCTTCCACTTTCTCCTCATATCTCAGAGAATAGACTTTAAAATACTTCTTTTGCTCTAAAAATAACTGAAAACCAAAATGCATTACAGATTTGTTGTCAGTGGATCAACAGCCAGACCTCTTGATTCTTCAGCCTCTAATTGTTTTTCCATACCTGCAGTCAGAACCAAACAAGGGGAAGCCGCGTTTAGTGTTTATTCTCCATTAATCTGGAATAAACTGCAAAGGTGGTGAAATACTGCTTGAAATTAAATGTATTTTTTTACCTTGGTCTTTGACTTTGTTCTTTAAACATTATTGATTCAGTTTCCAGTATAATTATCATTTCATTTTTCTAATAATATAATAATTTCCCTCTTATTCTCTTTAATTATTTGGTATTGCCACTAAGCCTCTGCAATGTCATTTTTCTTATATGATACAGCCCTTTGAATTGCACTGCCATTAAAATCTGTATCTATCTATCTATATACAGTAAATAAACTTGCCTTGCCTTAATAGCTGTTGAGGTGGTCCAGCTGCAATTTGTATCAACATTTAAGCAAAGAGTTGCCCAAAGTCAAAGACGCTTCCTGTTTTACTTGTATTTATGCCTTTCCAGCCATCCTTGTTTCTTTTAGGCTCACTGATTATCTCTGCTTTAGAGACAGGTTTCTATTTTAACCACAAGAATGCTGTTTTATTTCCATCTGGTTTGAACCGCCATGCTTTCTGCCCTTTAATGCTAAAATTCTCTATGTCCAGAAAAGCCATTATGCTCTTTGACCTGTTGTGTTTTTCTTGTCAGGTGATCCACGTCACAGGGCGTCTGCGAATCAGGATGGCTCTGACGCACAGCCGCTCAGTGCCTAATCAGATCATGGGAATGGTGGTAGTAGCCCATGCCCTCCCACCACCCACAATTAACGAGGTTCGCATTGACTGCCAAATGTTCGTCACCAGAGTCAACATGGATCTCAAGATTGTCTACTGTGAGAACAGGTAGGGGGACAAATAAAACCCCAAAAAGTTTGAATTTCCCTTAAAAAAAGTCTTTCTTGTCACTCATTTTAGAAAGGGAAACTCCTATAGTGTCATGATTATATTCAAAGGTCTGACCCAAAATGCAGAAGTCCAAACAGAGAGACACAGATGTAAAGTTTAACGGGTTTTATTGAGGATGTTAAGCTCGGTGCAGAGTTTCTCTGAACTCTGCTCGACCGGAACTGGAAGATGAGGGGAAGACAGACTATTAGTTCAGGCGCAGTGGGAAATTTCATTTGTTGATTTGAAGCAGAGGATCTGGTTGTTGACTCACTTTTCCAGAGAAGTGAAGGATCCTTGACTCCAATCTGTGTGTTGGTTTCCAGTGTTTGTCTGACTCGGTGGAGGGCGGAACAGGGTTTTCCCAGAATTTGGACGGTTTAGGGGGAACAGAGATGCTGATTGCCACTCAGATTTCCTGCTGTACTTGAACGGGTCGTGGTGAAGATGATTCCCTTGCTCAGAGATTAATTTCAACGTCCTCAAAGGAGACTGGATCCAAACCTCCTGTTTGAATCCTTGGCTCAGTTTAAGACTCAGTTGATCCCTCCTGGGAGAGGATGTCCGAAAAGGTCCAGTTTGCAGGATGACTTCCTGCCGAGAGGCAAAGACAAAAACAAAGTTAAAAACTCAGGTTGACAAGAACTCAGTCTGACTCAGAGAAAACTCAGCTTGGCTAGAGTACCCGAAACTGGCAAACACTCTGGCGTCGAGGTAGTGACAATCAGCAGCTTAAGAGCACTCCGTTAATGAGGTAAACGTCAGCAGGTGTGTGAGGAGGCGGACCCAAACCAGGTGCCTCCTGTTGGTGGAAGGGAGACAAACACAAAAGACAAACACACAGACAGCAGCCCTGACATATAGTGTATAAATGAGTCACTCATAGAGATAGATATTTAGAGCCTTTATCTTTTGTAATTCTGATGGCAGTGTTTTTCAAACCCGTTTTTCTTTTTACAGACGATAATTTAAAGGAAAAGTCCGGTCAGCAAGGAATAATCAACAGATCATTATTTATACCTAAAATTAATTTGTTTGCGGTGATTTCATGAATTTAATTGTAAAAAAAATAATCTGTAAAAAAATACAAACAATAATTTTTATTGTGCACTAAGTCTGGGAGTGGCCATTTTTGCCCAAATATAGTAACCCCTCCCTCCTGCCATCTTCCGGCAGTGATGTCACGGTACGGTAAGCCTAGCACCATTCTCCTCGCTTTACAAGCAAAATCAATGGGAACTACTAGACACATCTGCAATCAGCAACAATTATTGAAGATTTCCAGAGGACTTCACCATTGAAATTCACCAGAGCTATAGTGAAACTAACAATGCCCACGTGCATGGCAGCTGGATGCTGGAATACATCGGGTAAAAGTGAAAAACAAGAGTTATTTCACCTTTTCGACTCATAATCCTCCCAGGACTGGTTCGTTGTTGGATTGCCAACTGGAAGAGGGAGGATTTGCCTTCAAACTTCTGGTCAGAGAAAAAAAAAACATAATATGTAGCCAATATCGAAGAAGAATGTTTTCAAGATATCTTGGATAATAGCGCGTTGTGACAAACACCAGATAAAGCACTAGGACTTGATCAACAGCCGATACCGCACCGTGACGTCACAAACCAGTAGGTGGCAGTAGAGTTCTTTGACAAACATGGATGCCTCCAGTAAAGCACATTCAAGTGAAAATTGCTCTTGATTTTAAACACTTAATATTCATTGAACAGTATGTAATAATTTCATATTTAAAGTATTTTCAGAAGTTTGAATTCTGAATATGAACGGACTTTTCCTTTAAAGAGTAATATGCTTCAGCAGAAATGCTAGGTCACTGAATATGTTCACTTCCATCCATTGGCTTGACATGGATATAACTTCCTGCGGTTCAATTGATTGATTGACTGTATTGACCTCACAGTGGAGAAATTCACTTGTCACATCGGCTCAATAGTCAGAAAGTAGGTGTCAAAAGGAGGAAAAGATGCTTGGGGGGATACATACAGTATATACATTGCAAACCGGAAGCCGGAAGTAACAGGCTGTTGCATGCACAGCGACATGTTAGAATCAGACCCAAACTCTGCATTTCTTCTGCAAGGATAAGTGGACAGAATCACAAAAGTTTTAATACTTTCTGGATGCTAACCCCCCAAACACCAGACATCATTTAGAAGTAGTTTTTATTTGGGTTAAATCCGGTCAGTCCGTCATAGTCTTGATTTAGTCCAGAAATACTTGTAGAAAATTGAGCTGTTTGGTCGGTCTGAGTTTATTCCACTTTATATCAATTACAGACGTTGAAAAGACATTGAAAAACTGGATCTGAAAATTAGGGCTTCTTCCCTTTCACTTTTATAACCAAATGTAGACGTTGATGGGACGTAAATAATGTAGTGTTTTCAACCAAGATTTCCTCCTAAAACAGCTTCTTACATGCTCTAATGAATGCTAATGCATATATGGCTTACACCTTGGTACAGGCTGTAAAACAATTGAAGAAGTCAGTGAAAGTGGAAGGCATCAATCGAAAGATAGCAATGTCAAAGCTATGTCGGTTTAAAAAATGGGATTTTCTTTTATTCGTTCATAACTCAAAAAAAATCTCGAAAAACTGGGTCACAGCAAAAATGTGCAAAGTAAAAAAAAAAATCAGCCTAAATTTTAATAATTTGGTGATAAGTGTAAAATATCCCAATACAAAAATATTGAAGGACATTTTTATATCAATATTTTAGGATTTCACTGGTTTTTATTATTATTTTTTTTTTTGTATTAAATTCTATCAATCTAATGGTGTTACTTGTGTATCTCCACAGAAACCGTTTCCAAAAAAACAAGAATTTTAAAATATGACTGTTTCTGTATTTATCTTTAATGCCTATTTTTGAGCATAAAGAAGTTGTGTACCTCTTTGGGGGTTCTTATTCATGAGGAATATGACCTAATCCTACATGGTTTAACAGTGAAATATGTCTCTGATGGCTCTATCTCCTTTCCTCTGCCCAGATAAAGCAGATAGGCATCAGGATCTTTTGCAGGAGCTAACGCCCTGACTGAAAAGATTCATATCAGGCTAAATAAAAAAAATAAAAAATAACCCCTTCATGTTTTATAATAAAAGGAGCAGGGGAAATGATTGCCTTTTTGAGGGCAGAAAAGTGGATACAATGCAACGGATGATGATATTCACTGTGGAGCGACGGAAATCGTTGCTGTGTTAAAGAGACAAGCGTCTGTTCCATTACAGCTCAATTCTGAGAATAAGTTTCTATGAAAATGAGAAAATGGAAGGATGCGTTTCTCCAAAGAACAAAATGAGCTGTTATCTTCTGTACAGACATTAGCTGCTGCAGACAATCCTTTTTTTCTGTGGAAAATAGCTTATGTTAAATCTTGTAGTGCTGATGTGTGTTAGCTGTAAAAAAACCCCCAACATAATACTTTTAGATAATATACATTTATACATATACACTCACCGGCCACTTTATTAGGTACACCTGTCCAACTGCTTGTTAACACTTCATTTCTAAGCAGCCAATCACATGGCGGCAACTCAGTGCATTTAGGTATGTAGACATGGTCAAGACAATCTCCTGCAGTTCAAACCGAGCATCAGTATGGGGAAGAAAGGTGATTTGAGTGACTTTGAACGTGGCATGATTGTTGGTGCCAGAAGGGCTGGTCTGAGTATTTCAGAAACTGCTGATCTACTGGGATTTTCACGCACAACCATCTCTAGGGTTTATAGAGAATGGTCCGAAAAAGAAAAAACATCCAGTGAGCGGCAGTTCTGTGGGCGGAAATGCCTTGTTGATGCCAGAGGTCAGAGGAGAATGGCCAGACTGGTTCGAGCTGATAGAAAGGCAACAGTGATTCAAATAACCACCCGTTACAACCAAGGTGGGCAGAAGAGCATCTCTGAACGCACAGTACGTCGAACTTTGAGGCAGATGGGCTACAGCAGCAGAAGACCACACCGGGTGCCACTCCTTTCAGCTAAGAACAGGAAACTGAGGCTACAATTTGCACAAGCTCATCGAAATTGGACAATAGAAGATTGGAAAAACGTTGCCTGGTCTGATGAGTCTCTATTTCTGCTGCGACATTCGGATGGTAGGGTCAGAATTTGGTGTCTACAACATGAAAGTATGGATCCATCCTGCCTTGTATCAACGGTTCAGGCTGGTGGTGGTGTCATGGTGTGGGGAATATTTTCTTGGCACTCTTTGGGCCCCTTGGTACCAATTGAGCATCGTTGCAATGCCACAGCCTACCTGAGTATTGTTGCTGACCATGTCCATCCCTTTATGACCACAATGTACCCAACTTCTGATGGCTACTTTCAGCAGGATAATGCGCCATGTCATAAAGCTGGAATCATCTCAGGCTGGTTTCTTAAACATGACAATGAGTTCACTGTACTCAAATGGCCTCCACAGTCACCAGATCTCAATCCAATAGAGCATCTTTGGGATGTGGTGGAACGGGAGATTCGCATCATGGATGTGCAGCCGACAAATCTGTGGCAACTGTGTGATGCCATCATGTCAATATGGACCAAACTCCCTGAGGAATGCTTCCAGCACCTTGTTGAATCTATGCAACGAAGAATTGAGGCAGTTCTGAAGGCAAAAGGGGGTCCAACCCGTTACTAGCATGGTGTACTTAATAAAGTGGCCGGTGAGTGTATATATATATATATATATATATATATATACATACACATATGTGTGTATATATATATTAGGGGTGGAACGGTTCACAAAATCCACGGTTCGGTTCGGTTCACGGTTTCGTAGTCACGGTTTTCGGTTCGGTTCGGTATATGTTGATTGTTACACCGAAAAATAATAAAAATAATAAAAATGAATGAAAAAAAATGTATTATGAAATTAATGAAAAAATCCAAAAACATTAATGAATTGTAATTATTTTTAATGATCCGTGGAAACCAT